TTAAAAAAATATAATTTTTATATAAATTGAAATTTAACATTTTTGATTCAAATGACAAATTAAATTTATTGAATACGTGAATTTGAAATAATCTGGAGCTATATGGAGCTATATCCAAATCCAATTGGAAACTTAGTATTTATTGACAATGTAATGAATAAATATCCTATTTAAATGAAATAATATCCTATTTAAATATATTGAAAAATAATCTAAATATTAATATGGAGAAAATGGATATTTTTTCATAATTTATATGTAAAAATTATTGTATATGTAAAAATTAATATATAATATATAATTGCTTTAAAGTTTTTCAAATCCATTTCTTTTTTTTTCTAATTTTTTAATAATGTAATTGAATTTAGAATGAATTAGACAAAAAATAAGATTATATAATATTAAAAATAAGGAAAATCTAAAAAAAGTTCTGTAAGAAAAAAATAATTTTCGAATTTTGTAAAAATTAAGCAAGATCTATATTCTGATTATAATACATATTATCATTAAAAATGCATGTTATCCAATAAAATATTAATAGAAAAAATTAGTTATATATTAATATATTTGTACCTATAAAATTATATTTTATTTCTTCTATATGATGATATTTTATTTCTTCTATATATTGATGATTCATTAATATCATTTCATCTGCGTAACAACAAATTTTATTGAATTTAATTTTATTTAATTTATTGAATATTAATATAAATTTTGTTATATTTTGAATTTTAATTATTTTTACAATTTTCATATTTTATAGAAAATAATTATGCGAATTTTAAATAATATTGTATATTTTGACATAGTCACGGCATATATATGTATATATATATACGTATATAGATATATTAATAGTATAGTACTAATAATATATATATATAGTAAATTATATAATATAATAAAAAAAAATTATATGATAAAAAATAAATATTTAAATCCCAAAAATAGTTCTAAAAATGTTGAAATATCCATAAATTGGAGATAATCTCTAATTAATTAACCAATATTTTTTTTTTGCAAAAACTTTCATTATCGCTTTATTAACAAGTTATTAACAAAAAACATTGTCCAATCACGAAGCGTATAGTCTAATCGAACCGCAATAATAATATTGGCTATATTCCGCCGTCAAACATAAATAAGTCTAAGCAATATATTTTAAAAAAAGTGTATTAAATATTTATTTATTATTGTAATTATTATTTATTATTATTATTATAATATATATTAGTTATATTTATTTATTTATTCATTATTTGTGATATTATAATTTAATATAATTTTTATCGAAAAAAAAATTTATTATTTATCAATGCATTAAAAATTTCTTAAATCATATATTTTACACACTTTTTGATAAGATATATTGCCGATGAATATGAACTCATACTCAGTCGGTAGCACGTAGTTAATATTATTGTTGCAACTCAATTAACTATGCGCTTCGTGATTGGCCAGCATTTTTTATTAATAACTCGTTAATAAAGCGGTAACAAAAATTTTTATAAATGAAAATGTTGCTAAAATCTCAAGAATATCCAGTTGATGAATGTTTTAACATTTAATATTCTATATATTTAATATTTTATTAATTTCTTCTCGTGTTGTTAAATAATCAATCGATTAAAGCTTTGATTTTATTAGAATTTAAAATGTTCGACTGAACGTTTGAGATATATTTTTTAGATTAATATTTTCATTTTTAAATTTTTAAAATCACTTTCTACAATTAATTCGTCTTTATGTTCTGTATATATTTTTTTACATATTGACACTTGTTTTTTGAATAATAAAACATTGCATTGAAAATTTCTATTTTTTGATATTTAAAAAATTTTATAATATATTATAGAGGCTAATTGCACTTTTATTGAAATAATTACTGAAATCTNAACAAATTTATTATTATTTACTTAATATATGTATATGATCTAAGATATCAATTACATAAAAACTATAATCAAACTTGAATTTTGTTTATAATATTTTATAGTTTTTATTATAAAGTTTATTATGATGAGATAATGAAGTAATAACAATGAATTCAATTTTAATATAATGAATTCGATTATTGTATTAATTTATATATTAATTATTACAATTATTATTATTAAGAAATATATTTACAATAAATAAAAAAACTATCGAAAAAAACATAAAAAAATGAAAATGAAAAACATATTTTTATCATATTACTTTTATCATATCACTTTTCTCATATTAAAAGATAATATAACAAAATTAATAGTAGTATCAAAATTTATAAAAATATTATATTAAGAAAGATATTTTAATATATATTCGTTAAAATTTTTTAATGTATTTTGCATATCTTGATATTTTGCTATAGAGCAAGCTTCTTGAAGTGGAAGCCATTTAAATGCTTGATGTTCGTGCGACAATTGAATAGGTTTGTCAATATTTATTAATTCTGCTAGCCAATAAACAACAGTTTTCGGTTTTCCATTCACTTCGTAATTAAGTTCTTGTTTTACATCTTCAAATATAATTAAATCACTAGGTAAAAAACCTGCTTCCTCTTGTGTTTCACGTAATGCGCTTTCCATATCTGATTCACCAGGATCAACATGACCTATAAATAAAATGTAATAAATTATTAAAATAAATATTTTTTAAATTTTATATAAAAAATGTTTTATTTTTTCTAGGTTAGATTCTAAAGTAAAGTCACGATTATATGACAAACCTTTCGGTGGAGTCCAATGATGTTCACCGTAAGAAACTTGCATCAAAAGATATTCGACCATTCCTTGAATACGCCGAAATATAACGAAACCGCAAGCTCGTGTTGTCATCATGCGTTTATTTCGGAAATAATTACTAGTTACGTTTCTTTCAGACACTTAATAGATAGACAAATGGCGACAAAATAGTGAAGAAAACATGTAATATATATAATTTGATTGTATATACAAAATCTTTAAAATTAAATTATTTTAAGCGCTCTAAATTCAAAATCAATTAATTATTTATTAATTATTTATATTTATATTTAAACGAAATATAACAAATATTAATGTAATAATTAAAAAATTTGTATCATAATGAAAAAATATCAAGTTATTTTTAAAAATAAATAATTTTTAATAAATTCATGTTTTTTAGATATGTCGTAAAACTACGTTTAATTATTCCATTTTAACATAAAATAAAGAAGACTAGAAGAAAAGACAAAGTATCGCATAAAAGAAACGAATGTTTTTAAAGATTGATAGATAATATTATGACAATATTATTGTCATATAAAATTTAACACAAATTTTTAAAAATTTGACAAAATATTATTCTTTGGCAAATTATGTGTTTTGTTTTGCCTCAAGTTAAAATTTTTTTTACATCAATAAATATAAAAAAAGTGATCTTTATATTTTTGTAAAAAATATATTAACACATTCGTGTAGGTTGGGTACGTCCCATGCCATTTGAAATTCGTTGTAAAATCTTTGAAAAATTTATAATCATATTTTTTTTTCTTGCATTTTAAATTTTACACTTTTTTCTCGTATATGATAATAATTATGATTTTACAATATGTAAATAATTAATTATGATTTTTACAATATTTTAAATATTATAAAGCATATTTTTTAGAAAAAAAATATTAATCATAATAACGTAGAGCGTATATAACTTACGTAGCTTAAATGAAAAATTATCAAAAATTGATCCAGTATAAAATATTAAGGTTTTGGATATTCGCAATGAAAACGTGAATTTATAAATAAAAAATAAAGAAATATATATTAATGTTTTTCAATTTTATCTTTGATTTGTTTTTAATTTTTTACTATTTTTGTTCGTGGGATTATATCACAGAACATTATATTAAAAAATTATTTAAAAAGGATAGAATATTTACCCTATTGCACATATACAATTTTGAAAGGAATCTGAATTGGGAAACAATGTGTGTTACCATTTTATTATAAATATTTTTGCTACATTTTGTTGGCTAAATACCGATCACCAGAAAACACTTAGCAAAGCTGTATGTACGTATCTATCTACAAATTGTCACGTGTATGTTGCATGTGTGAGATGTGAATATGTGTGCGTGCAGGGCAAAGTGATGTCACTGGATGGATGACAAATCGAACCAAATCGAATCGAATCGAACCGAATCATATCGTACCGTACCGTACCGTATTGTACCGTACCGTACCGAATCGAACTGAATCGAACCGAACCGAACCGAACCGAACTGAACTGAATCGAACCGAATCGGACCGGACCATATTAAATTCGATATTTCTTTCTTCCTCTATTATTTTACTAATTATATAATAGAAAAATCACATAAGCTTTTTGCTAGTGCGACGCGATTAAGATAAACGCGCAACACAAGTATGCGCTCGCCGTTTCGAATCGCTAATGAGTCATCCGTTCAGCTTCTTCTTATGATTCACTTGGCCAATATTCTCAAAGTTGAATCTTCTTTTTAAGCATCAATCATATTATTTGATGAAGCAAGCGAGTAACGAGCGGCGAGCGTGCGAATGAATGAATGAATGTGTATTTATATCGTTACAGTAAAGTACCGTTTCCTCGCCTACTTGCATTTTACAGGGATATATCATTAACGCTACTGAAAGATCTTATTTTGTAACATTAATTCATAATTGCTATGGTAAAGATACAATTTTCTACAGTATCCTGTCTTTTTTGTATAACGACGATTGCATTCGGAATTATACACAGTACTGTTTCATTGACATGCATGATCATTGTGAACAGAATTTATTTTTTTCCTTTACTGTCCTTTATTTTACTATGTCTACTTTCTTTCAGGATCCTCCTGTTTTCACTTATTCTTTTTATTTTTTCTTCTTGCTTTTTTGTTTTTTTTATTTTTGCTCTTTTTTTTATTCAGGAAGAAATTGACATAGAAAAAGCTTTCAAATAGTAGTTTGGACAGCAATTCAATTTGTCATAAAGATCTTCTGTTCCGTTGCATTATCATAATTTAAAATTGTGTCCGACATTGCAGAATTATTCGCATCGAGAAGTTCAATACGAATATTACTTCGAAACGAAGCTTTATCGATGACTAGTCGAATGACAAATGACGAACGAACCTTGTTTGCAACTTATAATAAAAGGAAAAATATTCACGATGTTACGCTTAAATACTATATGTATAGTAATTAATAGTAATTAATCGAAAACTTAGTTTCCGCGAATTCGTTTTACGAGAATAACATGGTCACAGATTATTGATAACAATATTTGGTCGTTATCGGTCGTTTCCGGCAACTTGAAAGAACCATACACCGAAACATGTGCTGGACAATGAATGTTTCATCGAATTGAAAAACCAAGATTTTATTCGATATTTGGAGGCACGGTTGTGTGTTTAATTCGTGTTAAAAATGTGAAAAAATGATTCGAGTTTTGCATTTATTTAAATAAATTAGTCATTGCCTTTTGTTTAATGTAGACGATTAATTTTAGGCAAATATAAAAAGATCGCAATACGAATTTTTTCTCTTTCTTTTCTTTCGTTTTGTTTACATTTTTTCTTCTTTTTTTTCTTTCTCTTTTTACTTCTTTTTTTTATTAATCTATTTTTTTTTCTCTCTCTTTCGCCGTTTTTAATTTTTTATTTGCATTCTTAATGTGAGGCTTTATTTATTTGGTTAATTTAGTACCTTCGTATATTGTATTATGTATGTACACCAAGTCTCTCTAGTCGCCTCTACGTTTATAATAATTTCTAATATAAGTTCATTCAACCGTGGATACATTTGCGGATGAAGGGTTAAACAGCGTAGTAGTGTATAGCCAATTACAATATTTAAATATAATCTTACATAGTATCATTCGTAGAAATAACAGATCTCGTTATCGACGATGTCGTGCGCTCGTGCATATCGTGCTAGGTATATCTCGGAATTATTTCGGAAAAAAGTACTTGCATCATTATTCGCGCGAGATACGAGTAAATTCGATTGATAATAATCTTTAAGTAATTAACTCCTTTTTGTCTATTTTCTTTTTTTTTTTACGTTCAACATTATGTTGTAACGTTATTTGTATACTATTAATAAAAATAAAAATATAATAACAACAATAATTAATAATTAATAATTAATAATAATAATAACGCGTTACATAATTAATTTGACTAATGCCTATGGTATGAGATAGCTTTAAACTTATAATATAGATAAAAAAGTAAAATATCTTAAAAATATTTAGAAAGGTGGTGCGTGAATTACGTTTGCATAATATTTTGAATTTTTTTCAATATTCAACGAATGACAAATGTATAAAGATGTTTTCGTTACAGATAGAAGTTTCCTATATATTCCTTTACACTTTTTTCGAATAATTTGATCGATTATGTACAAACAGATCACTTGTTTACTTAAGTGCTCCTTATATATGTATAAAAAACATAATTTGAAAAATTAACGTTGCGAAAAGAAAGACTCTTGACATAGAATGCATAATGCATTCGATCGAACGCCCCACTTATAAATATCTTTATTTTTAAAGAGCTTTTATTCATGTACACTATTTTCCACTCATCTCGTCTTTCCTTCCATTCTTGCTAACAGATTCTATATTCCTTTCCTCGCTCATTAGAAGAAAGTTTATACTTTATTGATACGCATTATTAGGCACAATTAAAATAAAACAATATTTTTTGTGAAAGAGAAATTAGAAATTTAGTAAAAGGAAAGAGAAATTAATAAAATAAAGAAAGATCAAATATAATTATGTAGAAGACGCGAATATAAGATTGGCTTAAGTAACTAAAGATAATAATTTTGTCAATTTCACCGGAGATATCGTGTTATAACATCAAGAAAATTGCTTGGAATATATAATACTGTAAACGCGTAATATTTAAGTTGATAGCAACCGTTTCGGCTAGATTGAGAGAGTACAGAAAATGAGCATAATTTAATTGATACGACGACGCGAATGATATTCTCGATATCAAGATTTCAAACATCGTTTTTTTGCGTATCGATAAGAAGAACGTTAAATTATTAACTCGATCATATCGATTGATAACAATTTGTCGCGCGATACGATCAATTCATATCTATTCGTATTATCTTTTTTTTTCTTCTTTTAGCCTCTTCTCTTTTCTTCCTTCTGTGGAATCTCATTGAATTTTTTCATGTTTCTGTCCGATCAGCACCACCTTCTCCATTCACTCCCAATCTTCTCATTGTATTATTCCATATCTAGACGATTTCACGAAAAACCGACTGCTTGATTTTGTTTTGGCACTCGGGAGTATTTGAATATGCGCGCGTTCAACGGTCACGGATCACAGTTTTTTCGAGGCTTCCGAATAAGTAACGGGATGATGTAATGCGTTGATAAATCAAAGATCGATGATCGATGATCGGTGAAAGTTCGATTCTGCCGACGTTACTTTCGCTATTCAACTGGGACGGGATAGAGAGAATTGTTTAAACGAATATCTCTCGTGTATTGGTTTCGGAATGAAGATTGGAACTAGAACCAGAATCGGAATCATTATTGGTATGTGTATGTGTATGGATATTGGTATCGGTATCGGTATCGGTATCGGTATCGGTATCGGTATCAGTATCGGTATCGGTATCGGTATCGATATCTGTATCGGTATTGATATCATCGAAAAGGTCAAAGTCCCAGAAGAAGGAAAAATGAAAGTTGTCGGTAACTGTGAATCCGTGTCATCGATCATGAGAACGTTATGGATTGGCGCGGGTGGATAGGGCGCCTGTTGTCGGCAGTCACAGCTTGAGCTCATTTGCTATCTTGCTAGCAATATTTTTGAAGCCAATTGAAGTGCCTGAGATCCGTTTAAAACGTACTCCGTTCAAAGAAAGTCGTGGCAGTTTACAAACTTCGATTTCCCACTGTACTTGGCTATCTGTTGCTGCATCACCATGCGCACATAGCAGTAGAAACCTTTCACGTTGTTCGTACTGACATTTATTGGCATCCAATACCTGAAATTGATTGAAAATTGATTAATAAATATATAAAATTTTTTCTTATACTTCTTATTACTATTTTCTTATTTTTTCTTTTTTTATTATATATTATATTTTTTCTTAAATTTTCTTAATCTAATTTTCTTAAATTTATTCTTCTTATTTTTTGTTATTTAATATTATCATTTCGAAACAATTTCCATAAAATATTTTTTATTTATTTATTTATTTATTTATTTTATAATGAATTGAGTATAATACCTTTCGAATTTCGGACATAATTTCATTTGGATCTCGACTACTTGTAGTTTTCATACTCCAAGTGAAACGTAGACTGCGTGGCTTAACTTGCTCATCGTTAGTAGTTGCACCACTGAAACAAAAATATATTTTAAATCTGTTCGTTGTAAATTATGCATCATTCATACATAAATTTTTAAGTGACTTAAATATATCGATCACTTTCATTATTGTTTATATCCTTATTTTCTTTCATGGTTTAAAGATACTTCAATTAAGTTGATAAATAATGTGCATTAAGATTTGGAAATTTGTTGATCGTTGAATAATTCGAAGAATGCAACAAAAGATGTGACATGCAAATTATGTGCATACATGTACATTGATACATTAATAAAAATAAAAACTAACTATTACCGAGAAAAATTCTATACATATAATAATATAAGTTGTATATAAGTTGTATTTAAAAATTCACAAAAGTTTTGAATTTTAAATAATGAATAAATATAATATAATAAATATAATATAAATATAATTTTATAGTATTTTCTTCCTTTTCTTGAATTTTTGTTACTTTAGTTTCATTTCATTTTGTTTTATTTATGAATATACATTATTTTTATATTGAATTCTTTGTTATCTATAAATCTGTTACACGCTTTTTTTTCTCATTTTATTTTGAGATGAATTTGTGCGATTATAAACAAAGTCGTTTCCATCTAACGTGTAATAATTTAAAGAATTGGAGATGAATTGAAAAAGAGAGAAAGAAAGATAATTGTTGGAAGATATTAAGATAGATACATAAATTTATCGAAAAGGAGAAGATAAGGAAAAGAGAAAAAGAATAGGGAAAGTGTCAGAAAATGTGAATTAAAAATTTTATTTTTATGTAACAAATTTTCAAATACGTACATATTTGATTATTCGGAATATTTTTATATGGATAATACTGCTCAAAAAAAAAAAAAAAAAAAAAAAAAAAAAAAANTTTATTTTCTGTTTTACAATATTCATTGAATGATTCTTATAGAATTCTTCACTCTAAACACAAATCTAGAAATTGAATTGTTCTATTATTTTTAATTTTCAAAAAATACATGATTTTTGACAAAAATATTAAAATTTTTTTGAAAATTAAAAACTAAAAACTTCAAATTAGTTTAAAAAATAATAGCGAAATTGAATATTATACTGTTAAATTATAATTATTTATAAATAATAATATAATAAATATAATATATATATATAATATAATA